GTGACTTTACTTAAGGTCGATGCCGCTCACATTTTGTGTAAAATAGGCTTGATAAAGTTCCATAAAAACTAAATATCCTAGTCTAGTTCTAGACGCTGCTTAAAATTTCCTTAATGATGAAGGTCCTTTGAAATTCTGTAATCTCAGTTCGACAAATTGACACCTAAAAAATGGCAATAAGCCGAATAAGAATAAATCATTTATATAATGAGCGGAGAAGAAAGGTATAAGTAAAAAACACGCACGAAAGTGTACAAGAAAGAACCAAGAAAACGCACTTCCAAGGCAAAACTCATGAAGATAGAGAAACCAGAAACTGAATATTGCGACACCAATTAACCTTATCATCCTGAGTAACTACTACGCAGTTAAAGGCCATCAGTCAAAGTATATGTACACCAATACTTTATCGTTGGTTCATTGTTCTCCTGATGTGGTTTTACCGTATATTAATGATAAAGGACTGACCAAGGACTAAAATGGCCGGATTATGATTAAAGGAACTAACTCAAGGACGTCAAGAACTATTTGCCACTTTCATAGCCCATGAGAACCGCTCGATCCACGGTTCATAACAAGATAAAGATGATGTGAGTGTTTCACTAAAACGTATTTCCTTTCGGAAGCTATTCAGTAACAGCCTAAACAAAACCGAACGTTAATTTTTTGAACGGACCGATAAAATTTACTAATTTGTGAAGCTCGAAGGAAAGCATCAATATTGACTGCTGTTTGTCCACGATAAATGTCAAAGATGATGCTATCAAATGTTACTTACTGCTGCTTAATGAATCTGATGTTGCCTTAATGAAAGATCTTTGGTTCACTTGAAAATAGTTTCGTGCTACAGGCCAAATTATGCGCAGAAATGAATGTATGTTTCCTGCTAATGGACAGCAAAAGGTCCATTATCTTTTTAAGGTACACGTGCGTTTAACTTTGTCGGGGAGAAAAGACAAACAAACGTGTCAACACGTGCAACTTGTATTTGACAAGTTTACCTCTAGCAATGACATTTTTTCCTTGTCTACTCTACGTGTTTTTTGATGTCGAAACTTTTTTTTTAATCAACACATTCATTCCTTTCGTAATTTGCGTTGATATAATTTATTACATCATCAATTATTTTTGTTTATCCCCTGCCTTCGTTCTTCATCCCAGTCCAGTTCCCGTGTGAAAAATGTCAAAATCAATGATAATTTCGCTTCCAAAGCCGACAGTGGCGAACGCCTGTTTGGAAGTGTGTAGATTTCATAGCAAATTTGCTGTTTTCTTTGATATAGACTTTCCCTCCATCGCAATTCCTTCTCATTGGCTTTCATCGAAGAGACTTTGAGGAAGATGGCAGATAAAATAGGAACTCATTTTCTGATTCTTTAAGGTCGGAGAACAATGAAACTTTGCTCTCACAAAGCACTACTTTACTCACGAACATCACTACTCAGAAGTTCATTCCCCTCGCATCAAACTAGGGGAGTCAGCACAGCACTTTGTTTCGCGCGGTGACATACTAACAAGTGATCTCTTTTTCTTCAAGGTCAACTGGTTCCAAATGTCCTATACGTCTATTCTATCATATTCAGTTTATCGGCACTTCTGAAATATTGTGTAGCACATATGCACCAAAAAAAGAGAAACGGTCGAAAAACAAATAGGCTACATTGAGAAAAACAGGTTAAACGATTCTCTTTCAGTATCACGGACATCACTGGCTAAATACAACTGTTAAGGCAAAGCGGTCGTTTTGCTAGCGTTCTTCGCGCCCATTTCTGGGGTAATTTTTCCAGTTTGGACAAGCTAGCTTTGTAGCTGTTACTGTATGGGTGGGAAAGAGGCAAGGAGTCAAAGAAGAAAGATTTGCTTGTCACAACAGGATTAAGAAAGAGGCTGTTGTAGAGAGGTGGCCGTTGCTGGAAATCTCGTAAGGTAAATAATAGCAATAGAAAAAGACTACGAATCACCAGCTTAAAAAACATAAAACACCCAGCTACGAGCCGCGAACCATCAAACAACAACCAGCAACCACGAACCACAGACTACGGACTTCAGACTAGCCATAAGCCGTGGGCTACCAGGACTACGAACTATGGACGAAGCTAAGGACAACAGCTTCAGTCTGTTTCCGGAAAACTTGGGACAACGGACGTCGGACAACGGAATAAGGAAAACGGTCGGTAGAACGAAACCACGTTTTAAGACTATTATAGCCCATTCTCCTCTTATTTTTTCGAGGACCTCTCTAAACACTGGTAAATAATTGTAGGGAGAGTTTTCTTTGCTAAAACTGAAGTGCCCATCAGTTATTGGACGAGTTGAGCAAAATATCGCGACATGTAAGCGGCAAGCAGATCAATCATTTCCCAAAGCCGAGGTAAATGATAATTTTCGACCACAGAGTTCGATAATTAATTTGTCATAAAATTACTAAGTACGGTTACCGAAATTAGTATCGGAAATCATTCTACTATCTTACAGAATCGGCATGCGATTTGGCTTTTTCTACGGAAGGGCAGGAAGACAACAATATATTTTTTTACAATATTATTGAACATATGCAGCTTCCGAACAAACATTTCACCAGCAATACTTACATACCTACATACGTTAGTTGACCACTCTCCATGGGGGCTTTTCAGGGCCACATCCCACCCATCCCACCCCAGGGGAGGACATCCACTACACAGTGATCTCGTGTGTGGGAAATTAACGTCTCCTACCCCTAAGCCTGCAGGAGACGGGGCCTACGGTTTATTCGTCCTTATCCGTGAAGACTAGAATATCTATCCATTTTTTTATTATAGAAAGGTAGCAAATTCTACTCACTTATTTTAAGACCATGAGTATCGTTCCGGCCGGGACTCGAACCCTCGACCTCCCGCACAACACAATCTGGCGCTCTATCCAATTGAGCTAACCGGGAGGCGATAACGACAGACACGTCGGAAACGATGTTAACTTGAACAAAAGATTCAGACATCAGAGTATAACAAAGGCAGATTTAAACTAACATTTGAACATTGTTCCTCATAATTTCAATACGCTTTTGACAATCGTTTTGAAACTATTTCCCTGTAAACCTTAATAATACGTTTGAAAGAAAAAGTATGAAATCAGAATCGAAATTAATCTTTACATCGTCATCAAATCATGGAAATAGGCTTAGAAAAGCTCCATAGAGATAAAGAGTCTATTGTAAAATGTTGACGAGTTCAAGTACACGATTTGAGTGATGGGAGTGTTTTAAAAGGTATGGTAATTTACATACACCTGCTCTTTTTCCCATGTTCAATAATCTTAATGTTTCAAACTTCAAATTCAAAGGCTCTTTCAACGTGAACGTTATGATTTATGAAGAACCTGCGAGTAAAGATTACTCAAGTCTCACAAATAAGTTTAAATAACTGTTTTTTTTAGGCAGATACTAGCCTATCTTATTCGTTCACAAAATGCAAGAGAATAAAGAGGCGTGCAATTTCTAGAAAATCATTGTTTCTCGAAAACGATCGAAAAGAAAGGATAGGATTATAACACAAGATATTTAATAAGAGGGTGACAGCTCGATGTACCATGCACTGTGGAAAAAGTCCAAAGAAAAACAAAGATAGAGGCTATCCAAACACATCTGGACACACTGGCACGAATGAGTTAAACCTTGTAAACTTGCATTAAACTGAAAATTTAAACAACGTGATCCGAAAAAAGGGACTCTCTATCCTTGCAAGTTTAAAAGCTTCACGAAACTTTAAACTGAAACTTGAAATTTCTTCTTGGTGGCAATTCTGCCGTCTCAGTTCGATCAATTGAAAGCTTACTAGTGTAACTCGAATACAAATGATAATAGGTATTATTGTAATGAGTCAACTTGATAGAAGGGGAAGCAGTAAAATCACACACGAAAGTATGCAAGAGGGAAACAAAAGACGACACTAGCAAGGCATTACTCATTAAGATGGAAGTTAGATTAAAACAGAAACAGAATTCTGCGACACATACTACATTCGGATCATCGCGGGTAATTACTACGCATTTCAAGGTTTTCAGCCAATGTAAATAAACACCTGTGGTTTATCAATAATGCATTATGATTGTTAGAAAGCTCTTACGGTATATTTCTTGTAATTTAAAGGAACAAATCCCGAGGATTAATCTTAGTAATTCGTGTCGCACTAGAAAGTTCTATCTGGAGGCGGTGTTTCTGGTCTCTTCGACGAGTGAGTCGGTCAAGTTCAATATTCTTTAAATGTGAGTAAAAAGCTCACTAAACTCGTTAAGAAGCTTCAAGAGCTTCTTGCTTTCTATTCAGCGCCTGAAGACCACACACTTCACGCTGGGCAAAACGGTAAATAACAAAATAAAACTGATTCTGCACGTTTGGCTACTCGGGGCCGGTTATTTAAACAAAGTTCGACCTTTGTTCGACAAAACCGCGTTTAAAGCCCTCTTCAATCTAGCTAAACCTTTTACCTGAACAGTTATTTTTGCGAACAATGTAAAGAGGGCCAAAAGCTAACAGTGGAAGGAAATTAATTAAGTCAAATCACCTTCTTGCAGAGAATCACGGAGGACCACTGATTGCTTAAAATCACAGTTTAGGCTAGACCAGCCGGTAAATGATCGGCCCTTAGTATTTCATCAAGTCATTCAGAAAAAAGCTTACAAATGGAATGTCAAATTGCTAGACGGAAACAGGGACATGAATGGGTGAAACTCGAAAGTAAATTTCAATGTTGACCGCTGTTTATCCATGATATTTACCCACACTTATTTACATAATTAGTGATTTAATCGAATCTTGAATTGAATCTTGCGGCAGATTAAAAAAAAAAAACAAACAAGATAACTTTGAACAGGATGAAGTCTTGAAAACCCCAATCGAGCAAACTAGCGACTTTAAGGTTATTTTTTTTATCATCTCTGCAGTTGACTTGACCAACAAGGAAATCTAGAAAGAAAAAGAAAAGGTTCCACAAGGAGAACAGTGATTTATTATACATCACCAGATGACATCCAACGACAGTTTCTCTCCGTTAGCGATCTTCTTCTTTTTATTTTACGGCACTGTTTTCGTCGTTTCATTTGTGGGTAATACATGGGTCTTGGTGACATGTTATCGGAACTTGAATAGAAATCAGTTTTCTCTGATGTGGTATGTCGCTAACTTGGCATCCGCGGATCTCCTATTTACATTTCTCACTCCTTTCGACGCCATTAGCTTTGCTTGGCGATGGGTCGGCGGTAACACAACATGCAAACTTCAAGGGTTTCTCATCGAAACAAGTTATACTACTTCAATCACAACGCTTGTGGTTATAAGTCATCTTAGACTCAAAGCTGTAACAGATCCCTTGAATTCCAGAAGTGGTAGATTCTCGAATAGAGAATATACGAAACTAGTTATCATCTGGAGTATTTGCTTGGTCATTTGCTCACCCATAGCACATATTTACAGGGTCGAACCCGACGAGAATGGGAAACTTGTGTGCACCAACACAACATGGGGAAGTATTGGCAGGCAAATATACTACACCCTACACGCAGTATTTTTCTTCATTATTCCATTGATATATATAATCGTCACACAACAAAAAATTTCACGATCTCTCAAAGCGAACGTTATCCCAATAGGCAACTCGCATATCATGAAATCAAATCAAAGACAAAAGAGAGTTGCCAAGACACTTGTAGCTCTATCTCTTGCTTTTGTTTTGTGTTGGACTTCATTCATGATTCTTAGAACACTGATGTACTTTGACTTAGCGTCCCCCGGCCTAGGCTGGAGAGCGGCTCAACTTATGATTTTTCTTAATACGGCACTTGATCCTTTATTATACGGCTATTATGGGGGAAATTTAAAGTCTAAAGTGCGTAGCATTCTTCGCTGCAATTACCAGAACAGGTTGAACCCAGAATCCATCGCCTCAACGCCGTTTCACACAAGCCACTCGCTGGGTATGCGAGAAACACATGAGAAGGTCTCGAAAAACTGAGCAAGAAACAAAACTTATCTTGCGGAAAATCATTCCTATCGATAAGACTATACTTAAAAAAAAAATTAAAAAAATTAAAACAAAAATTTACGAAAACAACAAATTGTGTTTACCTGCATTTAAAGTAGTAAAACTTAAAAATGGTTAAATATGAATAACGAAAACAATTTTAATCAAATTAAAGCGAATCAAAGTTCCTGCTTTGATCTGCATTCTAAATTACATGGCAAGTTTGTGATGTTAATTGGAGTCGATGTAAGATGTACAATAAAACAGTCCAGTTCTTGTAGCCTTTTACTCTGCTTAACGTCAAGTGAATTCTTTTGAACAGAGAAATGTTTGTATTTTTCATTAAACTTCCTTATCCGAACATGACCAAGGCGGCAAGGATTTTCCCTTTCACAGCATGCATTACATCAAACAGAGAATCGAAAAACTGTTATCAGGCTGAATGGATCTTCATCATATCAGCAAAAGGCAAACGACAGCCAATTCGAACCGAGGTGTCTGTGGGGTTACATAGAGTATAAGATTAAAGTGAAAAAAGTACATAGTTACTCTCTGGAGTAAGAATGTATAAGCATCCTCTAGGGTATTAGGTTCAGTTAATGAAATGAATTATTATATGGCTGTGTCTCACAAGGACTGGGAACAACCGAATTCCCGAATTTGATTGGCTGAAAGCGGTCTAGATTTTCCCATCAAGACCGGCATCTAGACCGGTCTAGAAAAAAAAGGTAACAAAGAATATAAAAAATTGGCATAAAAGACAGCCATATAATAAACATCTTATTAACCGAGCTAGGTCGGTCTGTATGGGAGAATCTTGACCTCGGTCGCTGGTACAGACCTTACTGCGTTCGGTCTGTACTGGCGACCTCGGTCAAGATTCTCCCATACAGACTTTCCGCTCGGTTAGTAAGAACTAAATTCAACAGGATGTTAGTTTTTCGCGGAAGCCGCATTTTTTAATGGAGTTGTACACCCTAAAAGAATGTGTTGTTAAAAACTAACTAAGAAAAAGGAGATGAATTTCCATAACTTCCCCTCGGAAAATACCCGAGCCAGTTCAAGTTTAGCGAGTCACAGCTGGTGAAGACGTCAAACTCCACTTCGATGCAAATCTCAGTTTGTGTTAGTCAAGATAACAAAAACACGCACAAACTGATCCAAGACAAATTTTTGGTTTTACAAGGTACTAGCAAGTTGAACTTAATGAGGGGAAAAATAAAAACGCGCTTATTGACATTTGTCGGAGACTCTTTTGAATAAAATTTTATTTTTTGTCGCAGTTTTTTAAGTTTTGTTTTCGACGTTTCGACCACACTCGCCTCCCTACTGTTCGCCTATATGCAAGTGATTTCAATATCAATTTTCTATGTTAATATCTGTGTTTTGCATTGATTACCTGTTTTGTTTAGCAAATAGGCGTTGCTTTTTGACGACAGATTTATCTTGATCACGAGACTCGTCATTGACATTAATAGTCCGTACAGTGATTTAAAAGTGTTAGCTTTTTATGTTTTAAACCAGTTTTTCAGAAGAATCGAAAAGAGAAAGAAGTCGTTTTCATAGTCTGTTCAAAATTCCGCTGACCTGCATCTGCTAACCTGTAGAGTGAGACTGTTTTGACGACCGACCACAGAAGCTTCCTATCACGTTTTCTGAATTTTGCTACGAGATGAAGACTTGATTTGCGTTTTTCTGATTTCGAATTATAGATGTATTTCTTTTAGATCATAGTTAGCAGAGGGGACCTACTAACTACTAACTCTGTTTGGATCGAATAACTGTTAAAGTTTGGATGAATATTATACGGTTTGTGGTGGTCGTCTGAGCTGACCAGTTCCGAGTAAAGAAACATTGCCATATTCAGTTTTCGCGTCTAAAATTTAAAAACAAATTTAACCCGATTGGTTTCGCGCGATGACACACTCTCTTGTGATCTACGTCGGTCTCCTTTAGTTGAATCTATCCCGAGAAGCCTTTTCGGTGAAAGGGGGAGTCAGTGAAGCTCCTTTTCACGCACGATGAGATGCTGACTTCTGCTTTCTATTACTTAAAGGTTTATGCATCGGCCTCTTGTAACCTTTACGTTCCCGTTTAACTGATATAAAGAACCAGACCCGCTTAGAACTCGATCTGGCAATAGTGTATGGTACACAAATACAGGACACAAAGCTTAATATTTTGTTTGGGAAGAAGGGGGGAAGGGGGAGGAAGTCAACCGAGAATGACCACCGGTCCCTCAAGATAAAGACAAAGGCCATTAAAAAGAGGCGCCGTCGCTGGAAATTCTGCCAGATAAGTAAAACTACATTTTCATGGACCACAAACTCTGGAACGTTACCACGGGCCTCGGACAGCCGGCAACCACGAATCACGAACGACAGACTATGGACCACAAAATGCAGTTGTACAACCTACTAACCACAAAACCTCGGACAACTAGAACAAGGAACTACGGACTAAAAGCTTTCGGACTTCAAGCTGCTGTCTTTCGACCGCAGACCACATACAACGAGAAAAAGACTACAGATTACAAACCCGAACTACGGTTGCAAACGAACCCTTGTGCTCAGTCTATGAAGACGCACATTCATGTACGCGATTAATTGTGATAAGTTGTGATAATTGTGATAAGTTGGAGGAAAAATATTTCCTTCTCACAAAGTACTTTCCTAAGATTGTTTCAAGACATACATAAAGGATAACGGGTGGTACTGTCTAATAGTGTTTCATATCAGATCCTGTGTTATTCTGCTCTCGATTCAACTCATATAATTATGTTTAATCTTTTAACCATTGATAACTTTTGACATTAACCTTCATAACTTATAAACTGGATATAAGGAACACCGCATTCAGAGAGATTTCATGGCTAATATATTACTCCTTATACACATTAGTAATATCTTACTCCTTAATACCGACAGTGATTCAATATTTTCACCCCCGTCCTGACGATAAACGAAGATAAGCATTAAACGAGGTCTAACAAGTCGTGCGGGTGAACTTTTTTCCTACGTATTTGCACAGGCTGTAAAATTACTCCATTAACCACAAGCACTCGCGGAGGCTTCTGGGATGACATAAAAGCCAAAAGTCAGAGGTGGAAGATCGAGGGGTTCGTCTCCCGGCACACTTTTCGGCACGAGGTCTGGGAGGGTGCGGTCATCCACTAGATTGAGAACTTTACCATTAAGTCTGACGGTCCTGTTTCAAAAATAAGCATCTCTGTATTTGCTTGTTTGTTTGCTTGTTATTTTCGTCTTTAAACGAAAAATATCGTATCAGAAAATTTGCTGTTCGTTTGTTTGTTTGTTTTCTTTCTTACGATAAAAAGAGAACCGACTCAAAAAAAGAAAATCTTCAGGCTCAAAGAAGTTTAATTGATAAACACTATGCTAGTCTGAATCAGTTGGAGCATTTGAGAGACAGTTCTATATCAGTTAAACATTTAATTAACCCTTTAACTCCCAGAAGTGATGAACATGTAACTTCTCCCTATGATATCCAAACATTATCAACCAAACAGGTAATGAGAATACTCAAACTTATCAGGTAGAAGTTGTTATCTTGATCTAACACCAAATTCTTATAACTAATTTACAAGGAAACGTATGGCAGCTAGAGGGGAGAATTAACAATCAGATTTTGGGAGTTAAACGGTTAAGAGGAGCAAGATCTCAATTGATTTTGAATGAAATTCGAAGGCATGATGGCATGATGGGAAGGTGGTTGAACAACAAGGGGGAATTTCCCTTCGTCTTGAGCGAGGAACAAAGAAGAAGTGTGACTCCTTAAAGTGCACCTAAACCCAAAATTTTTTTTTCGCTTAACGAACTAAGCTTATTTTTTGGAGTATTTCTGTGCAAAAATTTTTTAATTTGCTCAAATCTTAAATTTTCTGTGCCTAGTCAAAATACGGAAAATCGGCCGCCATCTTGCCCTACGACCGAGTTTAAAGAGGAATGGCTCTAGCGGATAATGTGACGTCAAATCGAGAACACGAAAGTCTGCTTTTCACACATTTTCACTTGTTTGGGAAGGTTGTGGTCGATATTGTCCGAAATATGCCGACCAGGTGTACTGTATGAGGAATGTATGAAGCGTGATACCTTCTTGCAAATTTCGCACGTTGCTACATCCTATAACACACTTAGTCGGCATATTTTCGGACAAAATCGACTACAACCTTCCTAAACAAGCGAAAATGTGTGAAATGCAGACTTTCGTGTTCTCGATTTGACGTCACATTACCCGCTAGAGCCATTCCTCTTTAAACTCGGCCGTGGGGCAAGATGGCGGCCGATTTTCCGTATTTTGACTGGGCACAGACAATTGAAGATTTGAGCAAATAAAAAAATGTTTGCACAGAAATACTCCAGAAAATACGCTTATTTCATTAAGCGAAAAAAATTTTTGGGTTTAGGTGCACTTTAAAGGAATTGAACTTCAGGCTTGCGGATTCCGTGCTACAATGCTCTACCACAGAGCCACAGAGAACTGAGTCGTGAGATACTGCTTACTGGGTTCGTATGTGTCACGTGTCCTGATACTGCTTCACTTAATAGCAGCATATGACACCTCACTGTTACTGTCACATCAACTGGTGAATTCACGTCTGTCTCTCATAAGGTACAATATGATATCGTAATACAAAGCGCAGCTAAGTAATCAAATTAATCAAATAAATTCCTTGTCAACCATTTCATTGATTTATATCGCGAATGACAGTACTGAGTTCCAGCAAGTTACTTCTATCACGATTTTACTTACTTTGTCAAGAGGTCGCCGTTCTCAGGAGTCAGAAGATATACGTCGACATCTTTTCCTTTAAGTTCACCGTTGAGTTTCAGAACGACTGGCTCATCCAAGTGGACATTGAGAGCAAAAAGCGTGACAGAGCCCATTGGATATTGACTGTACAAAAAAAAAGGAAAGCGTTGCTTACTACATTAAGCTAAGAAACATCATGCGTGCGCATTTTCCTCCTCATGATATATTGGAGGACAGACACATAGATGTACCATATTTCTGAGAAATCTCCTCCACAGCGCAGAGGTCACCATGGCAACCAAGCCACAGCCAGACCTGTTAACACAACACTGAAAAACGGGCGTATAGAATGAAAGCAAACCCAAAATTAGCGAGGGAGGAAGGGGAACAAAGCAAGCAAAGTAAACCTGCAACGATGCCCTACAAACCCATCGTGGACTTCTCACATCTCATAGCGAAACTGCTGCATAAACTTGCTTTTGATTTTCAATTGAGTGTCAAAGGTTTTCTGAGACTGCTCTGGTTTAGCTTTCCTCTGCTATGTGATTGGTTTAGAAGAGTTGCACCATTTTCTCAACCATTCAGGTTAGCTAACAAAAAAAAAAAAAAGGAAGTTGCTCGCTCTACCCGCGCTTAAGGCAGTTTGCTCGTTTCTAAATTTAGTTTTCACTGGCTGCTCGCAATATCATCCCTAAATCTACTTGGCTGTCACGGTTACGTTGGTTTTTCTTTAATGATACTCAATCGTAATTGGCTCTTACCCTGGCTTTCTCAATTACGTGAATATTTCGTCTCAAAAAAGTTTTATTCTTAGGCAAACAAAACCTTAACTACCTGCTTGAGCAATGGGCGTACACTCGAACTTTTCGTTTCTCTTCTGTCTGACCACTCACGTCCAGCACTTTCACGCCAACAAGACGCTTGTGTAAAAGAGAGAGCCAGAAGTCCTAAAAGCAAGGCAAGGTAAAATTTAATGCGAGTTTCCCTTGATCAGATCATACAATTTATACGCCAGAGAAATTGATATTGACTACCACGCACAGAGCTGTCCGCTATTGAAAAGTAAGTACAGCATAAGTTAGTACAGTCTACTAGCAGGCTCTCGTTATTAGCGCCGCGGGACGCGCGCTTTTTGCGCGCTGGAAAATTTGAGGCAAGTCGGGAAGAGGTTTACCCTGAGGGGTCTGGCTCTAAAGCTCACGTAGCCCAAGGCCTTACACCTCGCCGGCTCACGCGGCCCAAGGTCTTACACCTCGCCGGCACACGTGGCCCAAGGCCTCATATCTTCCCCAAGGCAAAGAAATGCTCGTGCCAAAGCGGTTAGCATGGCGAGGGTATGAATGAAGTCTGTCACTGGTTTTGAGCAGAATACATACCAATGCTACCTTAAGTTTTAAGGTTAAAATGGCTACTATGAATCTACATGTATAGTGCACTAATTTAAATCGCTCGTTCTACTCAGTTCTCTTTAAGCTTATTGTTGTTCGAAAACGCGGATGAAAATGTTAAAAACGATGTTTCGGGTTTTTCTTTTTCTCTTTATAAGCCTTTGATGCCATGGCATAAACCATTACGGAATGAAACAACCGAGCCAGGTTGCAATTCTTACTCTTTCCCGTTGTTCCGTACCTACCACCTGGTAAAAGAAAATCATGACGCACACATTTGAGCACTTTTTAATTGATTGTCGAAAGTAATGCGGAATTATATTGGTTTCGATTTATTCTGCTCTATGATTGGCCAAAAAAGAATTGCGCCACTCTTAACCGATCAGATACAAAACTAAAATCAATCACGATTTGGTCAGCCGCGTTTTCCCGCGCTTTGGATAGCTGCTTGAGTTCACTCCGAGTTCTCATTGGTTCTTAAGGGTATTTTCCTTTCCTCTGATTGGTAGTTGATAACATTGGTTTTAATTTTACGACACTCAATCGAAAAACGCTCCATACCCAAAAGACATCTCTGATTGGATTGGAGAGGTTTGATTAGCTTGGCTAACTGTTGTTATACAAGTCATTATACTATGGCTACACTTAAAATTTTCAAATGCGCATCACAACTATGGTGTTTTCTCATTGTGGTTTTGATTTTTACTCAGGACCCTAGCAATTGTGCCGCAACTGAGCGGAAGACAATCGCCTGCATCATAGGAATTTGCTAATATTCATCCTTCCTACAACTTTTCTGTAAGTAAGCTAGAAACTTTGCTGCGGAAAATAAGCAAACAGGTCTTTTTTAGCCCTGCAATATCGTCTTCACACCAGGAACATACCGGGTTTGGATCCAGATTTTTGTCCAATAAAGCGTAGTTTCCACCAAAAAACGTCTGTCGCACAACCACCTCATGTTTAAGCCGAGCTGCCAAACCTAACTTGTCCAGCCACCTGGAAAAAAACAAAGACAAAAAAAAATTGCTTCATTAAAAGACAATAAGACAGGAATAAAATTTAAGAAAAACAATCATGTCAGCATGTATTAAACCTCTCTCGACCAGGGAATTGCCCACATTTTAGAATGAATCTTTTAAGGGGCCGGGAAGTTCATAAAATCGTTCGAGATAGAATGTCAATAACGTGAGGATTTTTTACAATATTCTTCGAGCGCAAGACTAAGAACAGTGACAATGAAATCGATACCGCTGCATTACACTGCGAGCAGTTCCTCCTTCTGGCGAAGTCCGAAAACACTGAACTTTAATTACATCGCGCCACGCAGAACTCCAAAAGTAGACTTTTGGTTACTCTCTATTGTTGGGGTCAAAGTAATAAAGAATACTGAACACCAGTTGAGAGGCTTTTTCTCTCAGAGCTTTTTTCGCTCTGTTTTTTGTACTATTATCAGGGAGAGAGGGGAGGCTATTGCTCCTGTCCCTGAATGGGATGCTTGCCAGCTGCTTGTTGCTTGTTACTTCTCGGTGTTTTCTCTGCTTTACTTCTCTCAGTGGTACGTGCGCTATGATTGATCAATTCGGTGGGCCGTAATCGACTCTGCGACTTCCTAAATTAAAAGGTTTGTTTGAACTGAAATCTTCCCCCTCTATTTCAACCCAGAGGTATAATGGATATCAGTTACAAACCTCGCTTTCTCTATCCACACTGTAAGTTATGCAACCTCGTTTTTCCGTTTAGATTGATGACCTGCGCGTTTCGCGCTTGGTCCTGAAACCGTGCGGAGAATATTCGGTCCGAAACTTACAGTACGAACTTGGAACTCGGCAACTAAGAGGTTTGAGGAGTAAAAAGACTGGTGACCTGCATGAAAACCACAAATGATATCGAAAATATTCAACAATTATTCACCGAAGTGGAGGAAATTTACCGAGCCGCGAAGCGACGAGGTTAATACTCACCACTTCCACAGACACTGGGGTGAATAACTGCTTAGTATATAACGCACGAATTGGTTTATTTTTTTCAATATAGCGAAAAATGGTCGGAAATTTAACTCTTGACACGCGATTTTGGCTCATCGGCTGCTCGGAGGTGAATAATACTTGCTTTTCACTTCCGAACTAGCCAATCAACGCACGCAAAAAAGCACTATTCACTAGTGTGGTATATACTCGATATGTATTTATTCAGTTATCCTTTTAACCACTCAGAGTGATAAGCGTCTTAATTCTCCTAACAGTATCGCCCCTAATCTAATATTAAGGTCATCAGAATAAAGGCAATGATCAAAACCCAAAGAAATTGAGAATTTCAATCCAAATTTTCACTGCAAAATGTAACGAACAACTTACATGAATCCAGCCACATATCTGTCGGACAATCCACTTGCTCCTCCCCCATATGCGCTGCTAGTTTCACCCAGCCACCGAGAAAATCCTGCTTCTACTCCGTCTAGTATTGAATTGGCAACACTCAGTTCGTGCAAGAAGCGATCCAGGACTTCTGGGTCGTAAAAATCTTTCTCAGAGCATGTTCTGCCATCAACGTAATACCTGTATCAGAGACGTGGGTAGAATTGGGCACTGTCAGTTGATTCTTAAAGCACAAGTGTTGGTGTCGAACACAAGTTCACATACACAGTGTGCTTTGAAAAATTGAAATAAACACTCTTCAGCCCACCGACTTGCTTAAAAGGAAAATGAGTGCTGTGGGTATCTACTATGTCTAGTCAGCCTCGAAACCAAACACCAGCCACACACCTCGTTAATCTCTGTAACATGGCCACAAGCCCCAGTTACAGCCACCAGTCGATGCTGATCAGATGGGGTATGGCGGGGTGCGGTGGGGTATGGGAACAGAGACCACTCAGTACTAATTGTCCCATCTTCCTTACTCTATTTACCCTAACTCAGCACTATGCACTCATTGGCTATTTACCATCAACCCTTTGACCCCTTAGTTTGACCCCAAAGAGTGACTTGCATATACTTCCTCCTTAGAGTAATTGAATAAAATCTTGCATTCTCATTGGTCAACGAAGCAAGGTATTTAGCATGGAATTGCAAGTTGAGAACAAGGCTAAATAATGTTGTTTGACAACTGAGCATGTGCTCAGGATAAAAACAAACAAGAGTGTTGCTGTTTTCTCTTTTTCTCAATCTATTCAATCATAAGATTCAAGGAAAATCCACCACCTGACTCCTGAATTCCATGATAAATTGTGCTTGAAAACCAATATGGCACTCATCTCTTCTCGAATCATGCAATATCGGTTTTTGTCAGGTAATGAATTTTCCTATATAACATCACCAATGAATCACACATTGAAGTTGAGAGAATAAAGGAAATGGTCATCAACTACATGTAAGTAGGCTCTTGATTGTTAATCAAATTACCGGTATCCTGGTCAACACCTTATATACATATTAAGAACAGTTTTTATAATAGGATGAACAATCACTGACTGAAATGTATAATAGACTATCAAGATATTAGAAGATATTAGTTATTAGTATATACTAAAACAGTGGATAGCATTGAAGGCGCGCTCTGATTGGCTAGTCAAACTCCGAATATCCTTTGCTATTTACCTCTGAGCAACTCGGGAAAAAATGGCGTCCTGATTTGCATCTGTGACAAGCGAAGAAATCACTCAAATCAATTTTTGGTGGTGCATATTATCTCACTGTTTTAGTATATACTAAAACAACTATTCACCTCAGTGTCGGTGGTTAGCAGGAGATATTTACCTCACCGCTTCGCGGCTCGGTAAATATCCACCACTAACCACCTCCACTTTGGTGAATAGTTGTTAATTATCGCCTTATTATTGCTTTATTGGGCTGAATAACAAGAGAATCCTATCAGTGACATAATGAAATACTATCATACAACCCTAAATAAAATGAGTCGACTTTACTTACTGATGCCAGGTAACTGCATCTATGGTATCCTCGGCATGCGTAAAAAAGCTAAAATTTTGAGAAAATACATTTTTACATATTAAGCGAAAGCCTCCATTGACTAATACTATATACATCAGAGTAAAATAAATCACAGTAGTTGTAGAGCACAGCACTGACTTTTATTTAAGCAAACATGAACTTATATAAAGTACAAGTTGTTTCAAAAACAGAAGTTAAGTTATATTTTTGCAGTGCATACAGCTACATGCAACTGTACCTCTTCAAAAAGCTTTCTGTTTTTTCAGATGTTATTGTTGCCATATCTGGACCCACTAAGAAGTTACCAAACTGAGGACTGCCCTCAAGTATTGCTCTTAAAATGCAAAAGTCTTCAGCAAGTTCCTCTGAGGAAATAGACCTACCAAACTTCCATAACAGATCAGGCTCTGACAATAAAAACAAACTCTATTACATTTATGCTGTATTTAAATGCAGTGATTACCTTGCCAAATAGATGCCACTCTTTGAGTGATTCATTATGCGTGTTACATCAGGGCCAACAAGAAAGTTACCAAACTGGGGACTGCCTTTAAGTATTTCTCTTAGTGCAGTAAAGTCTGCTGCCAATTCTTCAGCTGAAATAGACTTGTTAAATTTCTTAAACATGTTTGATTCTGAGGAAGAAAAGCATGCATACAAAAATAGCAACTTAAAATTTGTCATTCCATTCAATGACATTCATGCACTTGTACACAACTACATGACTTGCACTATGGAGTAATTATCAAAAATCAGTTGCACACATTTATCAAGAGTATTCTACAAAATCCTTTTACCAATTCATTGCCTGACTGCCAATAAAAAAATGCAAGAACTAATGAAAAATTTGTAAGCCACATGTATTCAGAACAAAACGTACAATGTACTTGATAACATCTGTTAAGAACTCCATTTATTGAATTGTAGTTACTGTTAGTAATATAATAACTCTCTCAGTGATTAGGAGGAGAAAAAGGGCATATGGTCCTAATAATGTCGTCCCTATTAAAAGAATATCATCCACCACGTACTCTAGGTTCATCTTCCAAATCACTTCTTACTGTCCCCACTATAACTTCTGTGACATACGGTGAACGTGCGTTCTCCTTCTGTGCACCTACATTATGGAATACTCTTCCTGATTCTCTTAAATCTGCAGCTTCTCTTTCATCTTTTAAATCTGCCCTTAAAACATTCCTTTTCCAGAAATTTTATTTTTAGTATTGTGAAACACTACATAGGTTTTTATCCCATTTAACTTTATTTTTGTTAGTGTAGGTAACTACTGACTGTTAGTATCATTGTTATATTTTATGTTAACTATGCTATCTAAGCACATTGAGATTCTTAAATGCCCTCATAAAAACCTTACTATTATTATTATTATTATCATTATTATTATTATTATTATTATTATTATTATTATTATTATAAAAAATCATGGCTGCCAATTTTCAAAAAATTTGAAGACCCTTGATTGAAGGCTCAGTTATAGTGAATGCTTGGAACAAAGACAAACGAATAGGACAGAAATGTTGGTCAATTGAAACAATTAAAGTAGATACAGCGACTGATATTTCAGTCTCTTCTTATAAAAGTACAAAAGAAACCACACATTGTCAAAAACATGTAGAAATGCATTTTGCAAAATACTATAAAAAATTCAGCTACTGTCAGCGCCAACTGAGTGCAGAAATTGAGAAGGTCATGTACAGTGTGCCATGTGTGTAATTGATGCATAAGGAAGGAATGGTATGTTAGAAAACCCCTTATAGGGTCAAAGATGCACCTGAGTGGCATAATGGTGTTTATCATATGACCCTTTCCACCCACTCATGCAACCCCATGATGTATATAGGGCTGGACTGGTCTGACATGAGCCTGTCAGGAAAAAGTTGTGCGGCCCTGATGCCCTCATGTCCCTTTGTAGCAACAATTTTTACAGAAAACAGAAATGAGAAAAAAAGTTTTCCTTTTCCAAGGAATTGGGAGTTTCTTGTTTGACCTAAAACAATAAAGGAAAAACTTTAAATTCAGAGTCTTTTTTTCTGTAGCTGCATGTGCTCATCTATCACATCCTCTTTAGGGTGAAATTTTCAACTCTTGGTGGTATTATTTGGCTCTCAGTCAAGAGGCACAAACCTCACAGCACTTGGTCCATACATCATGATCAGCTAGAACCAAATATTTTTCCATTCCATCCTCCAACTCAGTCAATTAGTACACACGAGGAAAATGCTGCCTCAGGACTGCGTAATTTCATTCATACATCCTTTCATGGCAAAACTTGGCAACTTGTTCACCTTGGATTTTCTCCTTGATTTTATATACATGTACATGTAGTTAAATAAGGTCAGGAAGCTTAATCTTATTTGGCTATAAATACCATTTTTTGCTTGACTTCATTGGCTTTGTCTGATTTAACCTTCCCTCCCTAGGAATTCAAATTATACTGTGAGTCATAAAAGGAATATCAATAAATCATAACTAATCCATACCATTCCCTAGCTCCCATCCAAAGTGATATCCATGATCTGCAACATATTGCATGATTTCTTTTGGGTTGCTTGCATTCCAAGATCCATCTTTTCCCCTTAACAGCACATTCAAGCCGAACAGAACGTCCCAAGTAGCTTTTGATGACAAAAGGTGTATCTTGTCCAAATCTTCATGGGTGATAGTAAAATTGCTCATATTTTTTAACTTATACATGTCTTTCGAGTTATCATAGATTAAAAAATCTTCTGCAGTTCCACCAATACGGAGAAATGCTGGAGAGAGACCTTTCGCAAGTGTATACAGCTTCTCCGAGGTGAAGTTTACGTACGGCCAGTGATGCATCATGATACCAGAGTCAATTGCAACGGAGAGAAACTTTTTGTTTACAGTGAACACAGAACGGTCCAAATTAACCGAAACATTCTGCTTTACGGCTGCTCCCCTACCAAAAACAAAGAACTGAGATTTGCCTGAAGGCAAATATGCACTCAGTAGTATTAACACTGTAATTACAACCAAACTTGAGCTCGCTGAGTGGACAGGTGAAGCCATGCCTACAAAATCAAACAAACGTTTGGCAGTATCTGCGAGGTCTTGCTCGATCTTTTGAATTGAGTTGTCCCTCTTTCAGTTTAATTTTCGAGGTCCGTCTCTGGGAAGTCACAAATCCAAACCCCTTTCCCGTGACATACCTCGTGATATGGTACTTCTTACTTCTCTTGCATAACGCAAGGCATCATATCCGCCAGGCGTTAAACTGGAAATGGAGGCTCTCCCCAGCCTTGACACATTCACGAAAGATGTGCTATAGACTCTGGAATCCAGAATGCGGAGTGCGGAATTAATACGAAACGATGCCTAGAATTTTTCCAAAGAACAACTTCACATTTACCGTGAAGTAGTATCGTTCGTGTCTATGATCTATTTTCACAGTCGTTTGCTTCCACCCCTTGGAATGGCTCGGTCAGTACGAAAAGATCTGAGTATCATAAAATAACACCATACCATATCTCGCGATCATTGTACTCCGGAAAGATTCGCTGAATTCGCCCGCACTGAAATAACAATTTGGCATAATAAATCTCTTATTAAACGTTTTGTTGTGTAGTATTGCTGAGTATTTTTAATCGTTGTTTATATTTTGACTCGCCTTACGGGCTCGTCAAAATGCGGCACAACTCGTAAAATTTCTGGAATGCGTCAATTTCGTCCACAACCACCTTAACGAACAAAACACTGACATACAGTTTACCAGAGAAGTCGAAGAAAATGGCAAACTTCCTTTTCTAGACTGCCTGGTAAGCCACAACGACAACTCAGTACGAACGACAGTTTACAGGAAACCGACACACACCGACAGATTACTAGACGAGTCATCCTACAACCCTACATCACATAAAGCCACAACTATTAGAACTCTAACACGACGGGCACAACTAGTATGTGACTCGACAGACAGCTTATCCGACGAGAACAAATACCTTCACCGTGTTTTTACGAAGAACAACTACAACAACGACTTCATCCGACGAAACACTCACCGACCCACTACCACTACCGAAACAAACGACACCGCAACCCCTACGACTACAGCAACCATACCGTACATAAAAGGCATGTCTGAAAACATCTCGCGCATCTTACTACCCTTCAATATCCGCGTCGCCCACAAACCCATCACCACACTACGTCAGTTACTAACCAACGTTAAAGACAAAGACGAACCGAGGAACAGACAGGGAACGATTTATAAGATCAATTGTTCCGACTGCCAAGCCTCCTACATCGGTGAGACTGGCAGAAACCTCACAACAAGACTGACTGAACACAGACGGGCGACGAGGAAAGGTGATGTCAGCAATCACATTGCTGAACACCATCGACTTACCAACCACAACATTGACTGGGACTCTGCGCAATGCCTAACCTACAGCACTGACTATTTTCAACGACTGACTCTGGAAAGCTGGTTTACTAACTTAGAACAGACTCCCCTAAACAGATGTCAACAACTACCCGCTCCATACAAACGACTCATTCACGACATAAACATCACAAACGACCGAAAAAGAAC